CAGGGCTCACTAACATTTAGGAAGATTTTTTTTAATTTCCTTCCTGGATGACCAAGTTCAATACTGAGCACACTTACTGTCATGAGGATAATCTGGATATAGCACTAGCTGAAGCCTAGGCTATTTTGAGAGTAACAAACTTAAAAAAAAAAATCCCGCGCGAAAGGCACCACATTTTCAACATGTTTATGATTAATAGATGTGTAGCCCCTCTAGCTTCTAAAAAACATATAGTCTGGGGATAAAAATCAAATTATGAATTAAATAACATCCCCTCGGTGCCCTGACCACGTACTACAATTAAGACTTACAGCATGGCCAACTCATCTGGAAATTGTTGGCTTGTAATTATTTCCTTCCAGTGAATTACCAGTGGCCACATTTGTATTCTCTAATTGAAATAAATCTATACAAAGATACATACCCCAAAGAAGTGATAAACAGCTTTGAACAGAACTAGTTAGGTCCCAAATTGTCATACATTGACATCATTCGTACAGTTAACTCTCAGTTCACTGATATGCGACGTCCTCAGCTCCCGTGTCTGCTGGAGATTCACCATTCTGTCTTCTACTTGTCTGACTTTGTGTAGATTTAGACAACAGCCCATTGAACATCACCAAGGCAGTCATGGGTGAGTATCTGTGCTGCCTCTTCTCCTCCGCAGTGACGCCATCCCAGCACATGCCCAAAGCACAGAAATGCCTTGCAAGCAGCACTTACAAGCTAGTCTGTGGAAAGGGATGGCTCCAGACATGTGTCTTAACCTCAGGCAAATAAAAACCTCCATCCCACCAAGGTGATCTGCTAGGTCCGTTCAATTCAAGGTGGAAAGTTCAGCTCAGAAGATTAACCTTTGGAATCCCCCCAAACAGCCCTGTCATCTTGACAGCTTTTTCTCAGAGGACACAGGATGAGGAAAGGGTTGCAGAGAACTGTACAATGCACTGGTGAAAACCTTTACACGGAGGGACTGATTTCCTCACGACGATGCACTTGCTCCTGCTCTGAGGGCTGTTCTAGGCAAATTTTGCTGAAAAACCTGACCCCCATCTACCCGACAGGCAGGACACTGCCCCGTCAGACTTTCTTTTGATCCCCACATTCAGACCACTGACAAAGGCACTCCGAGAGTCTCCCGAGGATGCCCAAAGGGCGTCAGGGAGGACACAATTATTATTCAGGAAAGTGTATCGACCTAGGTACAAGGCATGTCAAGACACGGGAGCTTCATGTCTGTAACAGAGGATTGTACAGCGGCACCTTTTGTAGGTGAATGTTGGGCTTTTCAAATAACTGCCCCCTGAGCTAAGCACCCCTAGTGGAGAGTTAACTGACCTATGCAAATTGGACGCACTTTTCCTCCTCACAGACGACGGTTTTTCAAAACAGCGTTCACATTGGCTCGTAGCACACAGGGAACAGGGCTCTGTGCCATCTTTCCTCCAAGGCACGAAGTCGATGACTGCTCTGAGATAGCTGCGAGTCATATCCCCGTACAAGTCCCTTGGCGGGCCAAACGCTGGGATCACTTGTCGCCTGGGACCTGGTGACGTGCCTGCCGGTTTGCCAGCAGAGTGAAATGTCGGCCCACAGAACCAGCGCTGGAGAATGGTTTTTCACTGCAGAGTTGACAACCAAAAGTTAACAGCTTTTGCCCACAGAACCATGGCTTTTCAGAGTGCAGACGCTCCACCGGGATCAGTCCAAAGGTGGTTTGGGGTGAGGAGGGTTGGAGACTTTCAGGGTTCTGCTGAGGGTCTCCGGGAGGGAGTGCATCAAACCACGCTAACTTCTGGGTCTGGAAATGCTCTTTGCGGTTTAATGTATTCAAACCTTTCTGCTGGGAGGGGCATTAGCGGGGATGTTCATCTTTGAATATGAAAGTTGACAAGCTTTTTGGTAGATTGACATGAGAAGCAGGAACCCAGAAGTAAAAAGCAGAGTTGCCAAACAAGGGCCACTTTCTCGGCGCTCAGGGATCAGTTACAAAAAGCCCCAGTGATACGCATGTTCCAAATACTTTGCCTAAGTGCTCTGTTGTCTCCTTATAACTAGGGACTTGGTTTTCATCAGTTGTTCCGTCTTCCTGCGCTTCCTTTCTCACTTACTGTGATATTAATACTTGACATTTCCTGAGAGACACAACTTTATATTTCTATAGTCATTTGGCTGGGTTCCTCAGAAAATTTAAGCTACAGCATTAAGAGATTCTCTGACTCATTTGCCTGCCATCAGTTAGAATTACTACTGACTACAGCTTGTTATCAAAGCAATATTGAAATCACATTTGTTTAGAACAATAAAACAGTACAATTAAGAAATATATAAAATAACATTCATTTCCATTTGGGAAGTGGGCATGTCTCCTGGCATTAAAATACATTTACAACATGTTAATGATACGGCGTCTCTTTTTCTTCAAATCATGCATGACAGTTCTAAATTACAAAGGAAAGACATTTAAACAACATATTGTGACGAAAGGTGACTTGATTATTCTAATAAAATTTGAATACTAATTATGTAGTCAAAGCATACAGGCTAAAAACATAGAAAAGATGGGACACGATAATTACCAGTGGAGGAATACACATATGTACATGTGCTCACTATTGAAAAATGTTCATTATTTTGTATCATTGGGAAATAAAGTCCATATAATTTAAGAGGACCGTTTTAAATGCCAGAGCTTTAAATTTTTAGTAATTTTAGATGCAATCTCTTCTTAAGAAAAGTATATGGAGCATAGTTTCTAAGATTTTCTTACTGGCTCCATATTCCTAAGAGTGTCTGTCAGCACTAGAGACTGCTTGCCCTGAGGATCCCTAACAGGCCTGTCAGGGAGGCAGGTGTGGGGGTGTTTGCCCCGACACTACCGAATCCCAGAATATGCTCTGTGAGGTCTCAGAATCGCCTCTCATCAATTTTCTGCCATGTTGCGACTATTGCTTGCTTCTACAGCAGAGAGAGCAGAATCCCACCTTTAAAATGAAATGTAGTTTCTAATTGGCCATGGATAAAGGGTGTGAATACCCTGTCTCTTGCCAAAGAAGTGAAAAATACAAATATTTGAGTTCGAAAAATAGGTGTTTGGAGTAGGAATTTCTGGAGCTTTCTTGTGAGTAGAGTACACGAGGGAAACAGAAAGGAGTTTACCTGAGTCCCGGCACCAGGAGTGCTACCGTAAGCTATATGACCTTGGGTAGCACACTTGCTCTTCTTCAGAGAATGAGAGCGAGGGACTGGAACCTAGGTCCCCAAACTTATTTGGCCTACCGCCCCCTTTTGCAGATTAAAAAAAAAAAAATGA